TTTCAGTGCATAAAACACTTAAACAAATTAGGGCAAAAACCGACAACAGGATTTCTTAAAACCTATTTATGGTGTTCCTCAGGCTACCCAGTATAGCTTCTTACCGTGAAATCTATTGAATAAGAACATCTTCAGACGTCTATGCATTATGTCAATGCGTTGACATGTTTTACTAACTTTCTAAACAGTAAGCACTGAATGGGTAATAAAATAAGCACCAGGAACACGACAGTTTCTAGAGTTACTGACTCAATCAGTAGAAATAATGTTGATCTTACCAGTTATTAATTATGTAAAGTGTCAGTTCGTACGGAAATTGTTCTAAAAATGTAAACAAAGTATCCAAACGTTGTAGTGACACTCATATACTCTTGGTTGTACAAAATACATAACAAATTCTTAACATAAGGCTACCTTAGTGGTACTATCTTGTACTGCACAGGGTGGCAACTTTCAGGTCACGTGACAGCCTCAAGTTGCAAATGTAACCTTGGTATCACATATATTCTTATTCTGTGTCACAAAACCTTTAAGAAAATATATGATAACCTTTGCCACCTCGGGTGGTACCAAAATTTGCTTTGGCTCATACTGGGAGTGCAAGTATTTTCTTCATCTCCAGGATTAGGCAATCTCGACCAGATCGTAAAACAGTAATTAAAAGCTCAAAAGTGCTGGAGTTGCAAGCGACAGAGAGGGAAAAAAACTGAAAGCAGTATCTTAAATAAGTAAAACGAACCCATCAGACGCTACCATGAGCGCACTGCGACACCTAAAGGCGACAACTGTAAAAAAGAACGCGAAGCTATATTTAAGTCTGCTACTCGTAGGTATCCTTGTGGTGTTTTAGTCAAGATCAAATTTTTTAAGCAAAAAAATAACAGTGCCAACGTCTCTCACAAAAAGTCCCCAACCGTGAAGAGCAATGAGAGGCGTCATTATTGGTAGGCTAAAATTTTCTTTGTGCCAGTTACTCAGTCAAAGGCTTTTATTGATTATAATTACTGCTGCAGAAAAAATGCTTTCGTGAAATTTTGTGGAGTTATTTTATTACTTACAAAATTATCACCAAAATATTTTCACAATGGATGGCTACAACTACAACAATAATCTCTGACAACTCTCTGGTGTTTCCATCTTCAGTAGCAAAACCTGAGGGGAAACATGAAAATTTGTTACTTAGTACCAGTAATCAAGCAAGGATTAAACCAATTCAACACTGTAAATAAAAAGTACTTGGGATTATATTCTGTTTGTCTGCTGATATACGGTAAGAAAATGAACATTTAGGAGGGGGTGAAAAGGTTTGATGCTGATTTGGTCTCTTGGGGGATGTGGATTACGGATTTTAGTGATATATAAAGCAGATATAATGCACTTGAAAATTATTGTGGGTTGCAGATCAGCTAAAAATTTTGGCATATATTTTTAACTGTCTGCCTGGAAGTTCGGATTGGGAATAGAGTGGACACCTTCACTCATGTTTTGTTGATTAGGTGGTAAATCATTACACTAGTTCTGGACTGTTCATCGATTCATTTGATGATTTGAACCTGACTTGTAGGGAGAAACATTCTAATGTCCAACTCTGTCCCTCAGTAAAATATGTTAAAATTAACAAAGCTGTTACGGTTCAAGTCCTGAAGTAGCTGCAAAGGCAGAGCAACTTCTGAAAAGTATTTTTCGTTTATTTGTCGAGCTTGCTAAAGCAGAGCGAGACTCTAAAAATGCAAGCCTTTCTTGTGTCTTCCCCAAATCGTCAGTCATAGTCCCAGACCTTCCTAGCGGAGACCGTGGAATCTGACGATAAGAATCACGACGACTTTCATTGTCTACAAATGAGTCTCGTGATGAGTATGGGGTTTATTTTCAACGATGACTGAAATGACGCACAAAGTTGATCACGATTCGGCTGTTTGGCAGTAATGTAATTTTCCCCAAATCGAGGCCCTTGATTTTCGTGTTATTACTATTACGTTTCTTAGAATATATGTGCAATTACTGGAACTTTACGGTTCGATAGATAGATAATAGATTCGATATTGCAGATTCACTTTCTTGTATGTGTTTAATTGATAGATTTTCGCGGTCGTTAAAATGTGAGGTCGCGTTCCACTTTATGAACACTTGAGATATCAATGATTCAACCTTGAACTACTACTGGAAGCAACTTCAACAACCCGTCTGACGTAAGTGTCAAGGACGTGTTTATACGGGTAGCTTTGTACTTGACTGTCACACACTGTACTTGCAGCGAAACTTCGATGGTGAGGCTAACTGGTGGGGTGTGGTAAACTTTCATTGTATGTAATGGAGTCTTGTGATGAGCACCGGTTTATTTTCGGCGATGATAGAAATGACGCGCCATTACGATACTCGCCACGTTTCCTAGTCTGCTACACAGCCGTTTTTAGAGTCGTCAAATACGCTCATTTCCCACAATCTTGGGGAATTAGCAGGTGGTCATCACGGTGAACATAGGCCCCGGTTTTTTTTTGCGGGGCTTTTCTTCTTAAGTCAACTAATAACTGGAACGGAAATTGAATCCAGGTGCTATGTAAGGATCGGTCTTGCCTTTAGAAGAGATGTCGTGGCCGTGAATGCGAATGGGTCTGCGTGAAACGGCCTTGGAAGTTTGTTTCATCATGGTGCTTGAACTTGATCAAACCAACGCAAAGAATTTGCATTGCTAATGACACACTTTGCAACCATGTTTTGTATTGTCTGATCAAGCCCTATTGCTCCCTGAGCTCAGTGACGCATGACCGACATGTTAATGGTATGCAATGTTCGTCAACGCACGGAAATACAATGGATTTTACGCAAGTTCCTTAATTTAAACCAAAAGCCGTCGATTTATCCACTGAAAGCCAAGAAAAACTCGTTGCTCGTTTTCCTTGCTTATACTATGCTAACTCCAGTGCATCTCACCAGATCCTTGTGCGTGGCGGTGATATTTCGGTTAATCCTGGACCTGTTACTAAACAGAAGTCCGCAAAGTGCGAGGAATGTGAAAAAAACAATCAGGCCAAATCAACAGTGTCACATGTAGTATTTGTTTTTGTCTACGGCACATCAAATGTGCAAAACTGAAATCCATCATCAGTGACTGGACGTGTGCCAGTTCTCTTGCCTCGGCTTTGCCCGTCTATGGTTCTTCTATTGAAGACGCATTCAATGATCTGGCCGACGTATACGAATCTACAGCTGAACAACCATCTCAAGAATCCATTCGTATTTTACAAGAAAAGGCTGCTCATTTACGAATCATGCACCTTAACACCCAAAGCATGTTCTCGATGTTTAATGAATTCCTTATTACAATTACCTGGGACGGTTTACTCATAATAACTGGTGATGTGAATATTATGTTGCAGCCTGCTAATAGTTTAACCAAACAGTATCTGTACTGTGTACCACAGGAATCGATACTGGGACCTTTTATTTTCAACCTATATGTTTCTGATCTTCATAAGCACATCAAGTGTCTTTGCTATCAGTAGGCAGTACTGAAACAACCCTCGCATTGAATAAAGCTAAAACAAAGTAGATGCTTGTCTCCACCTGCCAGATGTGTCGATCTCACGCGTTACACGATTATCATCCAGCTGTGAGCTGCAATGGGAAGCTACTAGAACGTGTCGCCAAAGCTAAGATACTGGGGGTCCACATAAACGAACATCTAACATGGGCTGACCACATGACTTTCCTTCTTTCATCCTGTTATGCAGCATTGGCGGTTCTCCGGAAACTGCGAAACCTCACACCATACCATGTTCGCAAGCAATAAGTGGAGTCATTAGTGATGTCAAAACTGGACTACGGGTCCTTCGTCTTCTATCCCCTTCCCAAATACCAAATGAAACGGCTGCAAAGAGTCCAAACAACATGCACCGGCTGCGTACTAGGGCGGTATGCTGTTTTAGAGGACTTGTAGAAATTAAACTGGCTTATTAATAGGAGAGACCTTGCACTATTATCATTCATAAAGCCCTCTACGATAATGTTTAGCCTGATTAATTACACCTTAAATTCCACACTGTCAGTGCTTGCAACTTAAGATCTCTTGAAGCACCAAAGTTGGCTATTCCAACAGAAAGTGGCACTTTTCAGGACTCAGCAGCGAACCTACCTGATGAATTAAAGGAAAAGACTGACTATACCATGTTCGTTCGGTTAGCGAAGAAGCTCATGTTCTCCGTAGGAGAAAGCGTATCACTGATATTTATTTAAACTATCATTATTATCATTATCATCATTTTAAACCTCGCTTTCTTTTACTTGTACATATTTTTTATCGAACCTTTTTTTTCTTCTTCTATTGCATCTCGATTTTTTTCCTTTATGAATATCATGCGACTTTCCTTTTAGCTTAACTTGCTGTTCTTGTTCTTAATTTATTGTATATACCATTTTTAATTTAAAACCGGCTTAATTTTTTGTAAAAATATACTGTAGTTAGGCCATTAGTAGGCGAAGAGCGACCTCGTGGAAGTACTATTTATCATTATTAAATTATTATTATTATTATTACAAACGGCTACTGAGAATCGAACCACATTCCTCTCTCGTTGTGTTTGTGGTCTAACATTGATTCTCAGCAGCCGTTTGTGGGGAGGAGCGTTGCCTGACGATAGTAAAAACGGCCGTGTAGCAGACTAAACGTTTCCTTGATTTTCGTATATTTACACACGCGTTCTAATCAATTCAGAAACAAATCACAGGCGAAACCGATACACAAAATAAATATCCTGAAGAATACTTGACCGTTGATAAAGTAGGAATTAAAAAACTTTTAGCGAGGAAATCCTACCTTATTGGTACTAATTTTAAGCGACGCGAAAAAAAATTCCCACGAACTTTAATGTCGCAAAATTTAAAACCCTCCTATATTTCTTGTTTTCTCAATTTAATGAAGAAACACATGTCTACGTATTGTGTATAATGTGTAAAAGCTCTATTGCACGCGCGCCTACAGATGATAAACAACAGTTTAACAGTCAAATTTCACTATCTGTGTTGCTTTGAACCTCTTCATCAGTATCACTACCGTCATCTTCAAGTCCTTTCAGCACCTCTTTTGTACGGTCATCGAAATGGCCATCTATCCCGGGTTCTTTGTAATCTGAAACGACAATCTGTTTATACTTTTCAAGTATTGCCTTGTTCCTTTCGGTAAGATCCATCTCAGCTGTAACTTGTACAGGAATTTCTAACCCTCCTTGCACTAGGGGAGATCTTCTGTGGTTCTTGTCGATGACTAGCACAAACAACCCGCTCCTTCCTGAGCGTGTTGCTCTGGAAATTTCTCTGGGCAAGTGACCAACAGTAGAGTTGCCTAGACGGCCTCGAAGGCACTTGGTCACGGCAATAGCATAGCGATCGTAAGAGTTATTTCTCTAGTAGCAGCATTTCAATTGCTCTCCAACAATCGGACTCCAAACCTCTTTATAAACGTGAAACCCGCGGAGACCGCACTTAAACGAATACGTGATAGACCCACTGTGATCTCTGCTCGCCATTTCAATCTGGTGTGTTTGCTGTTCCTCTCAACGTGGGTGTTCTGTTGCAGTTCATTGTATTGTGACAGCGAAAAGTAACACGTGGTATCTGTAAACAGAGATTGGAAACCAACAACAAACAATATACAACAGTCTTCCTGTTCCCTTTACTGGAGTTACAGCGTTGCGAAGACGCGCCACAATCTGGTTTAAGTTTGTTTGGTAAAATGTCCTTGTTTCGTTGCGGTCTCACCGTTCAAAAGAAAAAAGTAACGGAACGTCCAAACAATTCTGATGCCTCTGAAGAAATTCAGCCTGCTGTTCCGGCCTACTTTCCAAGCCAAGAAAGCACTTCCTTGGACAATGTCGAAAATCATGCAGTGGAATCGTCCGTTGCGAGCTTGTTTAATCCTCACTCGACTGACGGTTCCTCGGTTACGTCAGCAGCAAGAAAACGTGGAAAGTACCAACTCTATTCGGCTGAAACACGCGCCAAGATTGGGAAATATGCCAGTGAGAATGGTAATTCGAAAGCCATGAATCATTTCAAGGAGGAATTCCCAACATTAAAGGAAAGCACTGTAAGAACGTTCAAGCAGGCTTATGAGAAGAGTCTACGTGAGGAGAACAAAAAAGGTAACACAGACGCGACTGTCATTGCTACCCCGAGTGACACCCGTGGGCGGCCACCAATATTCCGTGAACTGGACAGTAAATTAATCTCTCTTCTTAGGAGCATTAGAAGCAGAGGTGGAGTAGTTAATTTCTGTGTCGTGGAGGCAAAGCTCTGGCGCTTGTTGATAGTAATAAGACGCCACATTTAAGACAATTTAAGCCTACAGTGACTTGGGTGAAGTCCAGTTATAGGCGCTGCAGTTTTACTCGCCGAGCTGCAACAACCACTCGTCCTCCAGTTCCCAGAGGGTCCCAGAGGGATGTTTGAAGAATGTAAACTTACATTTCTCACTGACATTAACAAGATGATTACAGAGAACAAAATTCCTCTTGAGTTGGTGTTAAATGCGGATCAAACTCCTTGCTCGTACGTTTCCGTCGGGAGAATGACGATGGCTGCAAGAGACGCATCGTCAGTTCCAATTAAAGGTCTGACTGATACGACAAACATCACTCTCACCTTTGTTGTCACTTTATCAGGAGAATTCTTACCCATGCAAGTCATATACCAAGGTAAAACAACAGCCAGCCAACCAAGAGGTTTTAAATTCCCCAGAGGATTCGCAATTTACCAGAGTCCGAAACATTACTGTAATGAAGATGAAACTCTAATCTTGATAGATAAAGTAATTGTCCCCTATGTCGAGAGGAAAAGAAAGGAGCTCAAACTGGCGCCAACTTAAAAAGCTCTGCTGATCTGGGATGTGTTTAGAGGCCAAAAAACTGTAAAGGTTTTGAAGAAATTGGCATCACTAAATATTGCGATTGTGTCGGTGTCCGCCAACATGACCCACTTCTTTCAGCCTCTGGAAATCACCATCAATATGGAGGCCAAGAGATTTATGAAGGACAAGTTTACGACATGGTACTCGGACGAAGTAAAGCAGTAAATAGAATCGGGAGGTGACAGCACTGATATTAATGTGGATCCGACACTAACAGTCCTACAACCACTTCATGCCGTCTCGTTGATGGTCATTTACAACCACCTGAGTAGTCCTGTTGGTGTGCGAGACATCGCGAAAGGGTGGGAGAAGGCCGGGATTCCTGGCCTCTGAGATGGACAAACCGATCTCCCTCCAGAAGACCCATTCACTGACCTCGAGCGCGCCCTAGAAAGGCCCAAGAACTTTATGCCAATGGTACACATAGCTCTAGTCTAATTCACGGCTACGACGTAAATATGTATTTTACCCTTGCAAAGAACGTTAAGCATAAGGATAATGTCTTTGACTATGCCTGTGGTACACGATGCGGTTTCTATAGTTTGGTTTTCTTATGAGTTGATGATTTTCAGCAATAATAATAAAATTCTCCAAATAATTTTTTTTTCCATTTCCGCGAAAATTAATTCCCTAAGAAAATAATTTTGCACCCAAATCGCGAAAATAAAGACCCGCTAAATATGCCGACCTTTTTTTCGCGAAATTAAGTGCCCGCGAAAATTTGTACCAATAAGGTTTTTCGTGTAGAATTAATCGCCTCCTAGATTGCACACAGTCTTTCATTTTTCTTTTGAGTCACAGTAGGTCGAGAGGATAATTTTACTTATTCACTCGCCGGCGTGGCTTTGAGAGAAGAAGGACGACCGCTCACGGCGTAATCGCCTCCTCATTTCTCATCTTAGCTCCAAGCAAGCGAGACTCAACGCTACTAAGAGCCTTCTTGTTGGCCTTCATTTTAAAATACTATAATGCTACCCTGTCGAACACTGGCAAAGACAAACAATCTCAGGTAAACATTAATTACTTCAGCAAAAAAGAATAACAAAAACAACAACAATAGCAAACCTACATGTACAGTAAAGATGTATATGCTCATATGCAACATAAAATTATACATGTATAACATTTGATTGGCAGAACGCGCCAGAAGATAGCATGAATCGGTGCACTTGCTCATTTGCAATTCCCTATTCATCCCCTTCATCTAGGTATTAAAACCAGAAATCCGGTAAAACAGAGCACAACCAATTTCCATGACATTCTCACAAAAAGTGGGCGATTACTCGAGGGAAGGCGTCTATTCGAGAGAGGCGATTAGTTTAAATATTGCTCACTGAGAGTCATGCCCTAAATATTTTGTTTTATTTCCCATCATATAAAATAAACTGAACATGGGCTTTTTAAGAGTTCCAAAGTTGGTTCCTTGATTAATTTTCAGAGCTTTAACCCTCACTGATCAGTTCCCACTTCAACTTAACAGGGAGGGGGTGAAAGAAAGAGAAGATGGCGAGAGGGGTAGGGGGCGATTATTCGCGGGAGGTGATTAATAAGGGACGGCTGTTATTAGAGAAAATACGGTAAGGCAAAACTGCAATGAGATGCTATTAAACCATGTCATGGTTCATTCTATATTTACGATGGGCAATAGTCAGCAAAATTTACTAGAACTAAACAAAGCAGCATGCTTATTACCCTCAAGCTTACAATGATCTAACTTCCAGAGTTCGTTCCAACAATATTATCCCTTCTTATCTCTTCAGTCTAAGTCAAAATCACATTATTCCTAGGTGTTATTATTGCTATATGTTTATTTCCTATAAACGTCACTGGGGTCATGCTCAGAGAGGCTTTTAGTGAGGACTCTGTGATGTCAAATTGTCCTTCAAAATTATCAAATTATCCTTTCCCCTGAATAGAGGCCCGTCCCTTCCATAGAGGTGACAGATGCAAAAATTACGTAAACATTTTTCCAGTACCAAATTTTGTGATCCCTGAATGGAGGTGTCCCTTGAATAGAGGTATCCCAAGGGAGAGGTTCAACTGAAATCACATATAATTTGCTGTATAATAGATTTTTCTGTTTCAGTGCCTAATTTCCTGGAAATTGCACGAAATTACATAATATTATTTACACCCAATTTATTATTAATTTTACATTGTGAAATATTAATGAAACCTACCTGCAGTTAAGGAGCAGGAGGAGGAGCCATGAGGTCAATATCAGAAAATTCCCTGGCTGCTAGGACAGCAACAATAAAAATTGTGGTGTGCTTTACAAGTTGCCTACAACAAGGAAAACAATAAAAAGTGTGTGCTTGATAATTGCTTTCACAGGGATTCCCAAGTAGACATCACTGTAGTCTGTGCACATATAAAAAAGTACTTAAAGATAAATACATATACATGTATTACATGTATAAATTCTTGAACTTGAGTTGAATGTATTTCAGAGAGCGCTCAAATCTGAGAGCAGCATTGACAATTGTAATAAACTGGTTTAAGACTTCAGAGATAGTGCATTGTTTTATTACTACAGCCCTGTTTAAACTGGTTCAAGTATACCAAAAGAAAGCTTGATTTGCTTCGACAAGGATCACACAGAATCATCAGGTAATAACTATGTTTCACCCCTTCATGCTTGCAACAACAACAAATTTATTTAACTACACTAGCCACACACAACGAAAGCTGATTTCCAGGTGGGCGTAGGCAAACAGACATTGCTAAAGAGAAAAGCAATAGGTGTTCACTACTGGAATGCAAAATGTTGCAAAATTTTAGAGAATAATTAATTACGTAAAATTTACACAATACAGCTTGTTTCAATATATGTTGGTGGGAGTTTTAGTTTAGTTTAAAATATTACAAACAATAGCATGCTGACAAGAGATGAAAAAGACTTTTCTGTAAACTTGCAGCCCTCGGGCTCGAGATGCACCACCTCCGGCCACAAGCGCAAAATAGTCTACATATTTGTGACCCTCCTCTCTACTGCTTGGGGGCAGGAAACTAATCGACAGCACTGGCGCGACAAAACCCCTGACCAGCCGCAGAAATCTCTCTGATTTCCTCTGATTATGTAATTTTACAATGACAGAAGTTCTTGGCCATTTAAGAAGTGGACCTATCCACCAGCCACGTTATTAAACCCATCGAATCAGCGTTTTCAGAAGAGAGTGGGGCAGGAAGGACAAAGAAAACATTCTTGGATTCATCAGAAACAAGCTGGGCACAGATAGCCATTTCGATCGGTTTGTGTACAACAAGGCGAACAGGCTCACACACGTTTGAACCAGTCAATCAAGGCTTTTCATGTACTGTGTTCTTGCGGCCCAGGTAAATGTGTGCACCAGCATTCTTGGTGACAGAGGTTGGGTGAAAAATGCACAGCGAGTATCTCACATTGTTGGAGGATGCTATCAGGCAGCCAGACCTTGCCAAGAGCATGCAAAGGTATCAGCTGGCTGTACACATAGCAAAGGTGCACCTTAATTTGGCAGCACGCCGGAGCATTGCTGATGCACTTTTGAATGGTGATTGATACAGAGAGAACAGTTACATACAACAGCAAGCTGAAGTAAACAAACCAAAAAAAAAAAAGCGAAGTTGCGCCTCATGGAAGGCAGTCCTTCAAAAATTAACCCACCAAACAGTCACCTATCTAATCCCATTCACAAGGAAGCAATGAAACTGGGAGAACAAAAAAAAAAAAAGGAGCCCCTCATTATACCCAATCCATCCTACCGACCTTAATCACACCCCAAAAGGAACAACCCCTGTCTAGTTGTACACATTACGGATTGAATTCCAAGAAACCACCCGAGAATAAGGCAGCTAGGGAACGAATTGCCTTAACACTTTTGAATGGTAATTAAAAAAAAGAAAAAAATAAAATAAAAACAGAAAGTAAAATAAAAAAAACAAAAAAAAAAAAGCCAAGTTGTGCCCCCAGGAAGGCAGTCCTTCAAAAATTAACCCCCCAAACAGTCACCTATCTAATCCCATTCACAAGGAAGCAATTAAACTGGGAAAACAAAAAAAAAAAAAAGGAGCCCCTCATTATCCCCACTTCTTCCTCCCCAGCTTCTCCAACCCCCCGATGATATAACCCAGGTCTGTTTGGAAGCATTAAGGGTTGAATTTGTGGAACCAATCCATTAATAAGGCGACTAAGGCAAGAATCATTAGCCCAGTGTGCTCCACCAGAAAGGAGATGGCTTGCCCCCTGTCGTAAAAATGAAGCTCACGATTGAGCCAATAAGGCTGGGCAAAAGGGATGCTGTTTTTCACCAATCTGTTGGCGACCTTTCCCCATGCCTTTGTCCAGCGATTTCAGGGAATTTGTTACCTCCCCTATGACAGTGCTCATTCTCACCCTGGTGGCAAGCACAAAGGCGGTGAGGGTGAAGGCATGTTTTTACTTCAGAGGAGTGCGAAGTGAAGGATTCGCGATGCTCAGGAATGTATCAAAGTAGACATTTTTGGGACAAGATTGGGCGTGCAAGGTCTGTAAGTTTTTGGTTTTATTCAGGTATTTATCGAAGTGAGCGCCGAATTTTTTCGAGATATCTCGAGATCACTTGGATTTCTTTGATTTATTCTCTAACTTATTCGAGGAAGAAATCATTACTATTTTTGCTTTCCCAAGGTTTGAACCGACTCTCCTCAGCCTCATTCCCAGTGGTTCTCGGCGATTTCAGATGTGACGCCACCTGTCAAGCTTGTTGGGAAAATTCGCCAAGGCACTCGGTTCCAAGCCTCCTCTGGTAACTCGGATAGCGCAAACAGGCCTTGGCACGAGGCTGGACTCACCTGTGTGACCCGTAAGATCAGAGGAGACTCTAAGTTTAGGGATTAGCCGATTGCGCTACTGTGACCCGAGGTGGTTCGGAATTTGAAAAATGCACTAGTTTCGGGACAAGATTGGGTGCCCAAGTTCGTGATTTTTTGGCTTGTTTTGGCTATTTCACGAAATAAGACTGAACTACTTCGTGATATCTTGAGATCAATTCGAGTTTAGCCTTTAATTTACTCGAGGAATAAATAGGGGATATTACATGGCCACGCAGAGACACAAAATTTCTCATCGAGTGTTGAAAAACATTTCATGAGTGAGAGCTCTTTTTGAACTGATGTATGATGAATTTAAAGTTACAAAATGCTGCACAAAGACGTTTTGTCTTTGTTGAGTGTTAACGTAGTACAATTGCTTTCATGTGTTGTGTGACTTTCTTGAATGTTCTCTACGTTTTTGGATTATTCATGAATAATTAACTAGGGCATGTTTACATACTGAAATCATAAAATACGTCGCCTATTTAGAATTTTCTAGAACCTTATGTCAAATGGTATACAAGTTCCAAGTCAGTTCTCTTGATGAACTAAGCTTTTTCCCTCGAGTCTGGAGTGCTGTGTTAGTCAAGTGTGATGAAGGTCGATTTTCAAGTTCTGTGTTTACAAGTCCTCATACAATAGGGGCAGCACGATTTGGACAGCTTGATGCTGTACATTTTTCAATTTGTTGGCCACTTTGACATCACTGTCTTGTGTGACTTGGGTCACAAAATGCTTTTTGATCAGATTCAAATCATAATGGCCAGAGTTGAAACCCAGAACTGGTATTTGAAAACACCAATGGCTGATGCATTTTTGTTGCTGATCCAAAGGAAATTTGAAATCTTCTGGGATGTATCGCCGCATTTCTTCTCGGATGGTCAAGGCCTTTCGTTCTAGCACCTCCCAGAATCTCTGGATCAGTTCTTTGGGATCTTTGCTGCTGATGTGCTCTGGCTCTCTATCCAAAGTGTCTGCCAACGAGACGGACACTGGTACGTGCTTGTTTTCAAACAACAGGTTCTTTGTCAACTGCCTGTGTTTGCTAATGTCCTGCACAGTCTTGAATCAAGCACGAAGGCATGTCAGAAAGTTTCCGTTTTCTGAAACCCTTGTCTAGGATCACTTGTCTTCTTTGCAACGTTCGTGCAAACTGCATCTCTCTTGTCAGCTTTCTATGGCCTTTCTTTATTTTTTCGAAAGCAACCACTTCCTTTTGCTGTTTCGGGGCAGGAGAACACCTTGGACACCCATGCTGATGACAGCCATGAAACTGAAACACCTTGTTTGTTTCTTGACTAAACCTATCCACTGTATGCCCAGCAATTTTTCTTTCCCCACTGTGGCCACATGTTTGATGATGAATAGGCACACCAAGCTGTCACGCCTTCCAACCAGAAGACCGCCTTTCCGGCATACGCTCCATGTCCATGAAAGCTTCTCCTTCTTCTCGTCCTTGGCACACCCCCTTTGTGGCTCCTCTCATGAGTAAATCTCTGGATGTCACTACGGATGGCACGCTTTTGTGAATCTAGCTTGACATTCTTCACATGCATAACTTTTTGTAATTCTATTGAGATTTGTGAACAAGAAAGCGTGCTCTTCATAGATTCCAATGTTCACCTTGGACATCCCAATTTTGTCAAAGCTTGAAGGAAGATATTTCAACACAAAGATTCCTTTGGTGTCAACCTCATACCCCGCAATCCCCTGCTGGAAATGACATTCTATAAAAGAACAGTGCCCTTTGTGGATCCAACCTTAAACTGGACGCTCGTCGAAAAAGCTTGCTTGCTCACTAGTTCTTTGCTCACTAGTTCTTTTTGTGTTGAAAACACGATGCACCCCTTGATGGACTTTGGTGTATCTAAAAATACAAAGCTTGTTAGCGTATGAATCAAGCACCAATAAACTCTTTTTTGTTTCAAAGCAAATCTGGCAACAGCGCCGCTCAATATGCAACTTGCCAGTCCACAATTTTTACCTCAACCACGAGGTTCTCCTCAAAAACCCATTTTCGCGGTTGAGCGCTCTATGTTTTCCCTCTGGAGACGTTTTTCTTCTCGTTCATCCAACCAGTCTCTTGCTTCTAACATTCTGTCAAACCAGGGGCTTCTTTTGTTCTGAAAAATATTTCCTCTGTTTTCATGTTCCGAAGCTGATAGGCATTAACTGTTTTTGACCACAAATCAATTTCTCACCCTTTTTTTCTGCAAATTATCCTTGGAGTCAAATCATTGTTCACAAATTTGAAGAAGTGCCATTTAGTGATTCTTCTGCCTCTGTTCTCTTCAACATCCTGCGAAAATACTGCAATCAAGACTTCATAAAAAATGTGGTGGTGGCTCTTCTGCACGTCCTTCCAAAATGTCAATCCACTTTGTTGGCACCAATTGAGATTGTTCATAATTCATCGAATGAAAGGGGTTAAATCTTTCCAACCCCCTCATGGGTTTGATGTTTCAACTTTTTTTGGTTCTCATGGGCCGCTTTGGCTGATATACCTGTGAAGGAAACGGATTCAAAAGGCTGCACTTTGTTTTCCAGGCAATCAGTTAATCCAAAATAATTTGAAGAGATGGTTCTGCATCCCTGTCCTGCAGAAGCCACCCCACAAAATTGTCCATCATGAATTCAAAAGCACCACTCAGAGTGTAACCATGATTACGCATACATTTTACCAATCTCTAATTGGTTGCTAAGGATCCATGGACTGGACGCAGCAATTGGTTTGAACAGATGGTTCTGCATCCCTATCCTGTAGAAGTAACCCTAGATAATCGTACATTGTGAATTTAAAATCGCCCTGTAGGTTGATGAGATCATCCTGTGAGGCCATTGTGATTATGCATAAATTTTTCCAATCTCTAATTGGCTGCTCAAGATCCCTGGCGGTTTTTATAAGGGGTGAATTTCAATGTCCCCAATCGTGGTTGATGTATCCATCTCAAACAACTGCTTTATCACAGGCGATGTATCCATCGCAGTTGATATCACCATCACAAATGGGATGGGCTGGAAGCTCTAAGAACGGCTCACAGGATTGGTTTAGAAAACAATAGATAGCCCTAACCCAAAGAAAACTAACAATGAACCCCAACTCTGAAATAATAGAGCTTCGGGCCAACAAGAACCTATCAAGTCAGAGGTTCTAAAGATGTTCTCGCCAACAGCACAAATGACATCATGACTGCAATCAATGTCGCCATCGCAACCAACTTGCTGATGATCACAAAAGATGTCACCAGCACAATCGATGTGACCATTGCAAATGATTTGACCAACACACAAGACTTGCCCATTGCAAATAATCTCATTATTGCAAATGATGTCACCAGCACAAAAGATGCTGCCAACACAAAGTATTTGACCAGTGCACTTGATCATGCCACTGCAAACAATGTCACCACTGCAAAGGATGTCACCATCGCAAAAGAAGCCACCATCTTGAACTATGTTACCATCACAAAAGATGTGACCGCCTGCTCACAGCCCTTATCCTGGCTGTGCTACAGCCATGTTCCAAGGTGGGCTGCACCACTGCTGTTGATTTATTTCTGCCAGGGTGTGCTGTTTTTAATGGCGGCCAACCCAGAGGAAATAATCATTGGTGAAATCATCCATGAGAAGAGAAGTTTGCCGCCAGTCTGGGGTTGTGCCGCCCCAGTGCTGTCTTTTTTTCCTGCCCCCGAGTAGTAGGGAGGGGGTCACAAGTGAGTTGACTTTTTTGCACTAGTAGCTGGAGGGCAAGCAATGCAAGTTTGCAGGCCAGGAGCTCACAAAACAGTCTACACATTTTGATCCCTTCTATACTCCTAAGGTGTATTACCAGAAGCAAATGACTTCCGTCTCTCATAAATCAAGCACTTCAGATCAGAGTTGAGCCAGGACCTGTTTGTGTGGTGGATTTTGACAGAGTGCTCAGGCATAATTGTGTTGAGAGAAACATTGATAATACTTGCAATAGCAGAGAGCTTTTTATTGCAGGATCCATCACATCAGGTACACTCTCCCATGGGACATCCATCAGAAAACGACCAAAACTTGAAACAGAATTATATCTCTTGTCCCAGGTCACGATTGGTTTTCTAGTCTGAGACTTGGTTCCCTGACGAGATTCGGACTTGACTATGACAGTTGTGTGGTCAGAAAGACCATGAAGAGCAGGAGGACCTGTCAGCTCTTGACAGAAGACCTGTAAATCGGTGTCTATTTGGTCAAGAGCCTATATTGACCAGTAATGTATATTTGGTGTATTTTGGTCAAAAGTGTTACCCTATCTGGAGAGTAAAAAGTATTATAAAAACCACATGGGTTGATTACCATAACAGTCACTGTGATAGTGATACTTTGACATTCTTTTGCAAAGAAGTTTCTCTGGAGCACCTGTTTTGAAGAATTAATGCTGAAAAAGCTTACATTTTTAATTTTTTATTTTTTGTCTCATTTTATTCTGCTATACAAATATTAATAACTGTGATCACCAAAGTAAAAATCTCTCGTTTGATTGAAATTATTGATAGAGAGGCGATCGGTAAGGAGACAAATAAAACATTTTTTCACATGAGGACATCACAAACCAAGTAATTTGGAACAATAAACACATAAACATCAAGAAGTAATCTGTTTTTAAAAAGCATCTCTTGGAGGAAGACTTTTAAACTGTAGGCAATCTTTTCTTTAGAAGGGTTAACAGGGACCTCTCTCCAATTGACCGTCGTAAGTTAATAGGTCTTATGTACGAGATACCAGTTAAATGGAGAAAACATGTTAAACAAAGTACTCATTTACACCTGTCCTGAATTGAGGAACACAATTCACCTTAAAATTGATGACACCGATGTCGACCTGTCTTCTGTCACATCAAAATCTCTTTACAAGGCATTAAAAATGGTGAAACAAACTCCTCCATTTGCTCAAAAGAGGTTTCAGGATCAATTTCCTGATGTCCAGTTTGATCAAAAAAAAAAACTAGAGAATTCCAATGTAAGGTTCTGAACAACATTGTTTTCATGAATGAAAAGTTACTCAAGATTTAAGATGATTGATTTGCCACAATAATGTACCTTTCGCAAAAACAAGATTGAATCCCCTCAGCATCTTTTTTACAATTGAGAATAACAAGAACCTTTTTGGGTAGCTCTCTGTTCTTGGCTTATTGAATGTAAATATCAAATTAGAACCTTTGTCGGATGTCAATGTTCTATTTGGTAATATTTAATGCAAGAGAAGATTTTGTCATTGTAAATCACCTTATTCTAGTGGCAAAGTTTTATATTAATCCCTGTAAAAAAAAAGTTTAAACCAGTAATACGGGTCTAAAAAAGCAACAAAAAATTGAAGCAATGCACAATATAGAAGGTAGAATAGCATTTATGAGGAATAAGGTAGAATACCATAACATTTATGAGGAATAAGGTAGAATACCATAACAAAAAATGGGAAAAATCAAATCACATTTAAACGTAATTTAAATGTTCTCTAAATTGAGTTTATCCTCCATCCTTCTCTCTCTTATTTAATTGTTATTTATTGTGTATAAATATTGATTTAATTTCCAGGATAAAGTGTAGCGTAGGTCTTATTTTTATGTAAAGTTGTAATGTTAGTCTCAGATTGTAAAGATGGTTTGGTGAGTTTGATATGTTCAATTACCGAAGCCAATAAAAGTCAGTCTAACAACTTGAGTTCAATTGGGCTTGATTACTGAACATTTGATTGGCTACAACAAGAACCAATTATGGTAATAATGTTGGGGACCTCATGACAACAAAAATCAACTGACTTACAAACCACTGAGTGAAATAACTGCTTTGTAGGCTTCATAAGGCCACATTCAGCGACAAAAATGTTGAGACAGAGAGGAAAAACAGTCCACACCACTCCTCCCTTCCATCCATTCAAAAATGGGGTGTTTGTTTTTCAAAGGTGGCAGGCTTTCATTTAAAATACCGAAATAAAATTAAAACTTGATAGTTTGAACAGCAGCACAACATTGCATGGAGGGGATATATGCGGGAAGGGAAATGTCAGAAAGGCCCCTTATGACAAAGTGTCTCAGCAAATTCTGTCACTTATTTTGCATTTTACCCCCCTGCGCAGCCTAGCGGTCAAAAAGTTTCTTGTGTTTTTTTTTATACAGAAGCTTGGTGAAAATTAAAGAAAAAATAGGGGGTCTGAGAACAGGCTTTTATAAGGCAAGCTGTTACATCTACTGGTGAAATAATGACAAAAGTAGAACTAAAATCAAACCTATATTTTGTTTATAATTAACAAGAGGAAGAAGCAATGAAATGTATGCCTTCATGCATCATGGTCGTGTGCTTGACAAGGGTAAAAATTTCTGATTTGCGTAGTTTTGTGTTTGAATTTGCTTTTCCAAGCTCTGCTTATGGACAAATGCTTAACAACAAGTAGAGTATTAAAATTAAGTAAAACTTGGCATACTTGCCAGGAAAACTTAAAGATACACAGGGAGACTCACAATTGACCACTTCAGAAAATACCATAACATATCATGATGCCCTTTGTTTGTCATCCCAAAATTTTGCATGAGCATTTTCTTCAGTTTCTCTTGGGGGTTTAAATGGCCCCAAGAGAGACTGAAAACAATGCTTTTGCAAAATTTCAGAAATTTTGGGGTGACAAACAAAGAACATTACGGAATGTTTTTTTTTTTCTGAAGTGGTCAATTTGATTGCACGTGGTACCGTGCCGGCCTGTGATTAACGAACAGCACAAACAATATGAAGAGATAAATATGTTAATATGCTTCTTACCATTTGGTAGGATTTCTGTAAAAATCCATGATAAAAGCTCCGGCAGTTGCAAATGTGGTTTTAGAAGGGCTGGATTTTCTGATTGCCTTAGGCGCCATCTTGGATGGTAAACGATGAAACAGGAGAAAACCCTGGAAACGAGTTCAACCTACTTATGACGTAACATGAAATGCAGTCGCCGAGTCACGAGACCTTGGAAAGATAGAAGGGTTCCGCCATATTACGTGAGAGTGTGTCGCAACAGTCTTTCTTTGTAGTTTCTTCCTTGAAATTGGTAAGTGCACTCGTTCTTTTGTCTAAGTAAGCTTGTACAAGGTTTTAGCTAGAGTCAAGTCACTTAATGTGAGGAATTGTGTCCTATTTGCGACGCAGATTCCTTACTTTAGCTCTGAGAGTTGGTTAAGCATACTGGATTAAGATGGCGTTCTTTTACCGGGACGGTCTCACTTTTCTCGAGTTTGAATGGAAGCTGCACGTTCCGCTAGTGTTGGTGGTTACATTTGCATTTATCATGAGACATAAACTTCAATTGTCAATGAATAAGATGTGGAAGGTGCAGATAATTTTCCCCATATATACTCGGAAAACTTCATTACGAGACGAAATATGATTATACTGCAAAGCAATATTACTTATTCTTCAAACTTTATAGCTTGCTTGTTGTTTATGCTCTGTGGTTTAATTAAAGGAACTCTAAGATTTTAAGACCGATTTCCAATGTAAAACCTTGGGGCTATAGTGGTGCTAAATATATTTGCAAGTAGATTGGAGGAGAAGCACTTAGCTTGCATGGGTTAAGCTCTTATTTGCACGTTCTAGCCATGATTTCGTGGCATTATGGACTAAGCACGTTGTAGTCATTGGCCACTGTCACGTTCTAACCTGTCTTATCATTATCAACATCATCATGTATAGAAGTAGTTTGATTTACAGCAAACAATTAAAAAGCTTCATTTTCATTAGCTGTCAATCTATTTAATTTATTAAACTTAATAGTAAAAATCATGATCAGGGGTTGATTTGCTTTTTAAAAGTATACCTATAATATCTCAAGATCAAGCAGAGTTGCCCAAAGAGAGTTAATATCTTTAAAGAAAGTGATTAGATTAAGAAAAATGTATTTTTTTTGTGTAACAACATGATTTATGTAAAAAATCATTTTTACTTGTTTGCTTTTATGCATAAGTAATTTCAGTACTACTCATCCCTTCAATTTAATTTGTTTAACACTTAACATTGTGTGAGTTCCTTTGTTTTATTCAAGTAAGCTTATTTCTTCAACTGTAATTGTATTTTAGTAGCCTATTGTTTAACATCAATCTATTTGTCTTTCTAACTACCCCTTTTACAGTGGGAAATGAAGATGTGTGATACTTAAAAGTTATTGAAAGATAATTTGTTGCTGTTTAGCTTTTGTATTTGATATCACTACACTTTTAACTTGTTTAAGGTATTGCAAGTGGGGAACAGAATGGCATCAAGAAAGAAGGTTCTTTTAAAAGTAATAATCCTCGGTGACAGTGGGTAAGTGATTGAACTTTTTGCAGCTGTCATACTTTAAAGAGCTAGAACTTACCATAAAGCCATTTACAGGTTGTACACTTTGCACCCTTCTGATCCTGGTGCAAAATATTAGCTTGCGAAGTTCAGTGCATAGAAAGCAAAATTTTGAGATAGTTTTTGGGTTTAAAAGAGACACAGCAGTCTTGACTCTTACTTTTCGCTTTCTCTTCTCCCCTCTTTTTTTGACTTTTCTTGTCTCATTTTTTTCTTTTGCTGGGTATTTAGAAGGTTTCATTTTGGTTTGAAAAGGTTTTAGGAAAGCTTTTAGGATCCTAGGAAAGCTAGGTGGGTAGGGGAACAAGATTTTCTTGGAAATTTTAAGGTCAATGTTATGTCATGGTTTTTTGGCTTTTTCTCCAGTGTCCATATTCAATACCCTTAAATTTTCTTACTTCTTGTGTTATACTGTTCTTGTGTATATCGGTTACATGGAGTTAAAACTGCTCATTATTTTCGTTTGTATATGTTACAGGTAAAATTTGATTTCAGGTAATTTTGATTTAACCTAGGGTGATCCTTTATTTCCTTTGTTTCCTAGCCCTAATTCATGAATAATTATGACTAGGAGACAAAGGAAATTGTGAATCAACCTCGGTTAAAAAAATTTAACCTGAATAGGCATAACTGTTATTGACCACAAATCAATTTCTCACCCTTTTTTCGGTTCCACAAATTATCTTTGGAGTCAAATCATTGTTCAGATCTTTGAAAAAGTGCCATTTTGTGATTCTTCTGCCTCTGTTCTCTTCAACATCCTGCGAAAATTCTGCAATCAAGACTTCATAAAAAATGTGGTGGTGGCTCTTCTGCACGTCCTTCCAAAATGTCAATCCACTTTGTTGGCACCAATTGAGATTGTTCATAATGCATCAAATGAAAGGGGTCAAATCTTTCCAACCCCCTCACGGGTTTGGTGTTTCCACTTTTTTGGTTCTCATGGGCCACTTTGGCTGATACACCTGTATATGTTAAAAGTAAAATTTGATTTCAGGTTAATTTTGATTTAGCCTATGTTGATTTGCAATTTCCTTTGTTTCCTAGCCCTAATTCGTGAATAATTATGGCTAGGAGAGAAAGGAAATTGAGAATCAACCTAGGTTAAAAAAATTTAACTTGAAGTCAAATTTGACCTGTAACATATGCAAGTCTGTGTTTAAATTCTTGTCAAGTAAAATGTGCAAATGTCGTTTTTCTACATGTGAATAAGTATGTTGATGAATGTATGTGAAATTGATGAATAAACTTTACCTTTTATGTCATCTTTGTTCAAACCGATTGAAATTCCTTACAATGCAGGGAATGTTTGCAGAACGTCCCCGTCCTGATAGATACATGTATTTATACACAAAACGTGTTTGGCTTGTCTGGTTTATTTGAAATACACAAGATTTTTAGCCCACTCTGCTTGTTAGAAAATGTGACCCCACATGGTAAAATGTACTCTAACAGCTTTTCATTCCAAGAAAGTGGTTAAATTTTGATAAACAGGACTTTGTTCTAGTCTACTTAAGTAAAACTCAAATTACCATTCTATTTCTAGTTGCAATTCTCAGATTGCAGTCTAACTAAATTTGCATGAAACAAACATGGCATAATAGGCAACACTATCCATAGTGCGAATTACCCATGGGCTTTATTGATTTTCCATATTTTTTTATGTAGAACAAGTCATTGGCAAAAAAATATTTCGTTTTTAATGTAAACATTCGGAGAGCAAAGTGTTTGGGTTTCTTTTGAAACGTTTTGTGTACATAGGATATCTTTAGCTTAGTTTTTTCATCCTATTAGGGATCATCGACGCCAAAAAGCTTGTGTACCACAGTTGCTTGTGTACAAGCGTTGTTTTAAAAGGGTGAAATAAGAGTTTAAAGCTGATAAAATTGTGCAAATGAAGTCGAACAAATGTTGAAAACATTGACTTGACGGTTCGAACAAGTGAAATTCTGCATAACTCATCTTCCATGTCATCCAACAGAAAATTCAAAGGGATGCTATAATAGGTATGACCAAGCCATTCGAATGGCCTGATGTCTTTAATGAATGGGTGACCGAGTCATTTGAACGGCCTGATGTCTTAAACCAATGGGTGACCAAGTCATTTGAACAGTTTGATGTTTCTAACGAATGGGCAACTAAGTTTTTCGAACAGATTTATGTTTCCAACAAACAGCCTGATGTTTCTTGCAAACAGGTGACCAAGCCGTTTGAATGGTTGACAAACAGCCTGTAAACAGAAAGCTGTATGAAAACGGAAAGCCATTAGAGTCTGTTTTCCTGTGTAAGGTCACAAATGTCAACTGAAAAGTAGGTTTTTTTTAACTTAACTGAAAGCTTTCAACAAGTACGTCCAATCTTCGTGGTTGCACCCACCAACCACTCTTTCTGTCAACTTCTGGTTAGGCTTGTTTTTCTTTAGTGATAACAAGCTGGTTATCCTTTTGTTGTTTGAAACAATGATTTCTCAAGCCTGTAAGTAAGTTACAGAAACCTTAAAACGTTTAAGATTTCGTTGTTTTCCAGCAACTTGGCCGCAGTTTCTTGTGTTTGTTTGTGTTCTTACCAAGAAGTGACTCGCATTAGTCTTGCTTTCATGCGAAAGCAAGCACTCATCCCAGGCCGCCTGGGAATACGAAAATTGCCTGTTGTAGTATGGCTATATATTGTGTTGTTATCTGCAGTTGCTATGGGATGTGCAAATCATTCTTTGCAGAGACTTTTCTTTCATAAAACTTTTTCACTGAATACAGACTGTAGGTTGATCTCTGTGTACACTTTATCTCTGTGTACACTTTATCTCAGTCAGGGCATCTGGTAGAGTGTTAAAAAAAGGAAAATAGTGTGGAAAATTCTGCCAAATAGTGTGGGAAATAGTGCTTAAAAAAGCGAAATAGTGCAGAAATAGCTAATAATTATACATGTAGTGTGGGAATTTAAAGGGATGTCTTCTTCTCTTTCCTAGCATTTCTTTTACATTACTCAAGTTAAAATCCAATGCTTCTTGAATGCTTCACTTTTACTTTCTTGTTAAATTTGATCAGATACGGAAAACTCTCTCAACAAGAGCCATGTTATTAATTTTTTCTAATAAGAAGTATGGATCAAGCAATGCATTGTACAATATGTGACCTTCTTTGGGAAAACATACACTAACTATAACCTTTTAGCCGTTAGAAAACTAACAGTTATCCAATGAATAGCTAATGCTAACCAAATGCTCTAACAATTTGTCCATACGATGTAACGATTTATATGCTCTAACAAATTGCTCTTATGATCTTATGATTGGTTTTAAACAGCTAACGGTTGGTCCATCTAACGTTTGACTTTCTTATTGTAAGAGGATTGTAAAAATTACAAGTGATGAATGTGATGGAAGTCTAACCTCGTCGTATCGACCTTTGGGCGAATCGATCGCAGTTCTCAACAGGTCCTGTGTTTCTCCGGTGTGGAAATAATTTTTTTAGCGCGTTGACTAATAATAAATTCTTTATGTTGAACATGTATCTCAATTATGGACTCGATTGCAGATTAGTCT